CATCGGCCTGTCGACGCCGAGCGAAGTAATGTAATTTGTAAGGAGGTGGAACAACTATTACAAGCTAATTTCATAAGAGAAGTTTATTACCCCACGTGGCTTTCCAATGTTGTTTTAGTTAAAAAGTCTAACGGCAAGTGACACGTCTGTATCGACTTTACGAGCCTTAATAAGGCTTGTCCGAAAGATAGTTTTCCCCTCTCTCGGATAGATCAGCTCGTCGACGCGACCGCAGGGCACGAGCTACTCTCTTTCATGGACGCCTGCTCCGGATACAACCAGATCCGGATGCATGCACCCGACCAAGAGCATACTTCGTTTGTCACCGACCAAGGGCTGTATTGTTATAATGTCATGCCCTTTGGTCTGAAGAACGTCGGAACAACCTACTAGCGAATGGTCAACAGATGTTCGCCAAGCAGATCAGACGCAACATGGAGGTATATGTGGACGACATGTTGGTAAAGAGCAAGCAGACAAGCTCGCATTTGGCCGACCTAGCAGAGGCCTTCGACGTACTCTGAAAGTATTAGATGAAGCTCAACCCGAGCAAGTGCGCTTTTGGGGTTTCGTCGGGAAAATTCCTCGGATTCATGGTCCACGAATGTGGAATTGAATCCAATCTGGACAAGATAAGGGTAGTCCTCGAGATGGAAGCGCCGAGGAATGTCAAGCAACTTCAGAGGTTGAATGGCCGTCTGGCAGCTCTGAATCGCTTTGTGTCTCACTCCACCGACAAGTGCCATCCTTTCTTCCAAACATTATGGAAAAAGGGTCGGTTTGAATGGACAGACGATTGTGAAGCGACACTTCAGCAGCTAAAGCAGTACCTCAGCACGACCCCGTTGTTGTCCAAGCCATTACTTGGCAACGTTCTCTACTTATACTTGGCTGTGTTGGAAAACGTGGTGAGCTCGGTCCTTATAAGGGAAGCAGAAGGGGTGACAGAACCCTGTTTACTAGACAAGTAAGTCGATGACCGAGGCCAAGACTCGTTACCCTTGTGTTGAGAAGGTAGCCCTAGCATTGGTGACGTCGGCGTGTCATCTACGACCGTACTTCTAGGCTCATAAAATAGTCGTTTTGACAAACTTCACTCTAAGGCAGATTTTCTACAAGTCCGAAACGTCAGGTCGGCTAATGAAATGGGCCCTGGTGCTTAGTGAGTATGACATCGCCTTCGAGCCCAGAACAACATTGAAAGGTTAGGCCACTGCAAACTTTGTTGCCGAGTTGACTCCGGCCAGACGGAGGGCCGACGTCCGCGACCAATGGACACTTTACGTAGATGACTCATCCAACGAGAAGGGCTGTGGGGCAGGCATGCTGCTCCTCAGCCCTGGTGACCTTCGATTCGAGTATGCACTCTGGTTTAACTTCAGAGCTTTGAATAATGAAGCCGAGTACGAGGCGTTAATAGCCAGGCTAAGGGTTGCAAGGGGTATGGGCGTGAAGCGTCTTTTGATCCTCAACGATTCGCAACTGATCGTCAATCAGGTGACCGAGGAGTACCAAGCGAAGGATGCTCGCATGGAAAGGAATCTGGCCAAAGCTCGGGAGTTGCTTGCCCAATTCGAAGATTATGTGATTCGACAAGTGCCGAGGTCAGAAAACTCTAATGCCGACGCACTGGCGCGCTTAGCCTCGACCTATGAAACCGACCTATCAAGAATAGTGCCAGTAGAAGTAGTCAGTAAGTCGTCCATCGACCAACCGGAAATAATGGAGGTCCAGTCAGCTCAGCCCACCTGGATGGATCCGATCAGAAGTTTTTTGACCAGTGGTTTGACTCCGACAGATCTGGGTCAAGCCAGGAAGCTCTGACGTCAAGCGGCTCACTACGTAATACAAGAGGGCAAGCTCTATAAGAGGGGATACTCTCTACCGTTGTTGCGGTGCCTCGACCCAGAGGAGGCGAGGTACGTTATTCACGAGGTTCACGAAAGAGTCTGCGGAAACCACGGTGGAGCTCGGTCTATGGCTGCAAAGATCGTCCGAGAAGGCTACTATTGGCCGACGATTGACCGCGACACCAAGGTGTTCGCAAAGGCGTGTGACAATTGCCAACGCTTCGCGAACGTCCTGCAGCAAGCCCTGGAGATGCTGACGCCGATCTCAAGTCCTTGGCTTTTCGCTCAGTGGGGTCTAGATCTGTCGGTCCATTACCAAAGGCGAAGGGACAGCTGAAATATGTCGTGGTGGTAGTAGACTATTTCACCAAGTGGGTAGAGGCCAAACCCCTGGCGTCCATTACCGAGGAGAAGGTCGTTAGTTTTGTGTGGAAGAGCATAGTATGTCAGTTCGGTATACCGTACACCCTCATTACCGACAACGGCAAACAGTTCGATAGTGCCCAGTTTAATCAGTTCTGTCAACAGCTCAGCATACGTCACTTCAGCTCGTCTCCAACTCATCCAAAGTTAAACGGGCAAGTTGAAGCTGTTAACAAGATTATCAAATGCGCCTTAAAGACCAAACTTGAATCCCTAAAGGGTCGGTGGGTAGAAGAGCTACCAGAAGTACTGTGGTCCTACCGAACTACGCTGCGTTGATCTACAGGCGAGACGCCGTACGGCCTAGCTTTCGGGTCAGAAGCTATCATTCCCGTCGAGATCGGCATGCCAACACTTCGAGTTGAAAATTTTGACGGACAGACCAACAGTGAAGCTTTCCTCCTGAATCTTGACCTGCTCGAGGAGAAACGGTCTTACTCCCAACTCAAGCTAGCAGAATACCAGAATCGTATGGCTCGGTACTACAATACCAGGGAAAGAGTCCGAACGTTCAAGCCTGGAGACCTCAACCTCAAGAAAGTGATGCAGCATGTCGAAGCCCTCGAGCCGAATTGGGAAGGCCCCTACAGAGTCTTGAAAGTAGTTCGCCCCAGAGCTTATCTACTGTCCGACCTCAATGGGAGACAACTCCCCCACCCATGGAACGCTGAACCTTTACGAGTCTATTATCAGTAAGGCGAAAGAAAATTTGTATAATCTGACGTGTAAAATTCCATTTGTTAATGAAAATCGATCTCTAATGACTTGTACAAAATTTGACTATATTCGTTAGTGTCGTCTACTACTACCAAGCTACGTCAAATGGGGGCCAATGAAGATTACGTGGTATGATCTATGCTAGACCATAACGAGAAAGATCGTAGCATTTTTCGAACCTTGGAAGCACTAGTCAGCTCGTAAGAACCTGGTCATCCACATTAATTTTAGCGCACCGCCGAGCTGAGTTACCTCGGTTCATAAGTCGTTGGGCAAGGAAGAGATAATGCAGACTTGAGAAAGTCAAAGGAAAAAAAAACTAAAATTGAAATTTCTGAAATCGAAATTTAATTGAAATTTTCTAAGTATAAAGACTTCGGAGAGAGCAACCCAGGTCTGAGCAAAGTTTAATTTCATTAGATTAAAATTTGATGTGAGCCCCTCGGCTCGGTACAACATTCATTTTTTCTTAAAAAAGAGAAGTGAGAGGAAAACAACGGAAAGCAGGAAAGAGAAAGCTACTCATCAAGAGGGTCGTTGGGCTTGCCGGCTCCTACGTCGGAAAGGTCGTCGGGCTTGCTAGCTCCCGTGTTAACGTCAGTTGTCTTGGCTCCCTTGCCAGCCTTGGCCGGACAGTCGACCCAGACAGCTTCGTACTCCTGCTCGACAGCTGCGATGGCATCTTCCGAGCAAGCCACCTCCAGCCTCTCGACGGCATAATAGAAGCCCTTGTCCACCTGGTCGTGAGCAAGACCGTCGAACTC